AAAATTAAATAGTAATAACCAAATAGCCCTCGGACAATCGGTTCATAAAGACATTGATACTAATAATAGGAAAAAATTTGTGGTCATCCCTTACATTAACTCAATCTCGGAAATGATTACTTCTACAATTATAAACAAGTCAAACTTAAAGGTAGGGTATCGACTAATGATCAAACTGGATAAATTCATCAAAGTCCATAAAGATAAGAATAATCTGTCTGGCAATTCAAGTGTGATTTATAAAATAAATTGCTTAAATTGTGATGTATCCTATGTTGGTCAAACAAAAAAAAACAGCTACGCTCTAGAATCAAGGAACATGCAAGTAACATAAAGTCAGATCCTGCGAAACATTTAGTGATCTCGGAGCATATTTTTTTGACTGGCAATATATTTCAAAACCATGCCTTTGATTGGAATAATGTAAAAATTCTGAATCACGAATGTAATTATCACAAAAGACTTATCTCAGAGATGCTACACATTAAAGAACAGAAAAATGGCCTAAACTCTAAAAAAAGATACTCAATTACTGGATAGTGTCTATTTCGATAGCCTTGAAATGTTAGGAGATAAATAATCACAAGTATTGTCATATTCTTACTTGTTATTTTTATGTCTTTAAATGTTCGTTTTTACTGAGTTAATGTAACACTCTTTGTTCATCCACAATAACTGTTGATGATATAATGTCGAGACACAATACATCGTCTTAACAACGGCCATATATGTAAGTTATTGGTTTGAATCTAATTTAATTTTAATTTAATTTTAATTTTTTATTTAATTTCAATTTTTATTTATTCCAAAATATTTAATGCTCTTCATTGGCCTATTTAATTAATTAATACTTGATGATGATATATATATATATATATAAAAGAGCGACAATTTAATTATTTAATCAAACATATTTTATATCTTATATAATAGTAGATATTAATATTTTTATTGTAGTAATTATTAATCAGAAAAATTTTTATAAAATTCTTCTAACGCCATATATTGTTCCATGATTATCATGATTTTCAAAGTAAATTCTAAGAATAAATTCTCTCTGTTTTACGTATTGAAGTTGCATAAGAAGGGAACATTCTTCTACTGAAATTAATAATTTTTTTATAACTATATCTGTCGTATCTCTCTGTCTCGATTTCTAATATACACAATATCGATTCAATCTATTACTCATAGCTGCAATGGTATCTTCGATTCGACGAATTCGATGAATTCGACGAAGCGTCTTGTTGTCACACAATAAATTAAAAAATTAAAAGAAACGTAATGCACAAAGGATGATCGTATCTCATCGATCGACTGTCAATATTCATTATACATTAATTGACAAACACGACGATTATGACTCTTGCGCCAATTTTAACGATCGCGCAACTTTGACCCCCAATGAATATCTCTCGGGATCTCCGATACTTCTCCGAAGTCATTGACTATATTTTCGCGCCGGAAAAGATGAGATCATCGTGAATATATATAATAAGCTGCGAAGGGCAAAGTTGCGGTGCATTTTTTTCGAGGCAGCTTATTGCTTCACAGTTGAAAAATGTGTGTTAAATTTAACAGACATCACATGTCCCAAAGTCCCAAACAGTTCAGAGAAATTTTGTATTAATTTAACACAATATATATAAATATTGTGTTAATATTTTAACATAAAATAAATGCAAAACTTCAAGTAATTTAAAATAAATTTTGCGTAAAATTAACATAGTTTTAATGTAAAAGTTAATTAAAAATATGTTGATTTTAGATTTTATCATTCCCACTTATATTATAAAATAAAAAATCAACATTTTTTTCGGTAAATTTTAACAGATAAATCTTGTCACTAATAAAACAGAATATATTTATTATCTAAAATTAAAAATTAACACAATAGTAATATGTTAAATTAACACAGGGATATGTTTATTTAACACAAAAATGTAAAGGAGGCCGTTTTTAATAAGTATCACATTCTGCGTCTTTTCGAAAAAATTTTACGCGACAGGCGCGTCGAGAAGTCAATAATCTCGAGCCTAAGCGTTGATGACACACGCAAATGACACGTGCAGGAAAAAGAAATAATAATCGATACTATAAGAGTCTTGTGTTAAACCGCACGTGACTTTCTCCGTGCATCTCGTATCACTCGCGTTTACGAAGAGAAATAACACTTTGCTGAGACAAGTAAAGAGAAGAAGGATATTTTTAGTGAACGCGTAAGAGAGTTTAAATGGTTCGATAAAGAAATATCTACCAGAAGAAGTCTTCTACGTCTCTCGTATAAAAAAGAAAAGAAGAAAAGAAAAAAATACTTTCCACGAACGTGAGAGAAATGTTTACACTTAATGTTATCCAAACTACAGCGTCATATGCTGCTGTAAAAAATCATAGCGACACGATCTTTGCCGTATGCAATTTCTCGATATCGCAAATGCCTTCCCGAAATTCTCTATGGAACATCCTGATTATTTTTTTAACGAGTCTAAGAAACGAGTTATATAGTAATATATCTTTTCATGGTAAGAACGATGTGGGATTAAACGACGTGTGTTTCATATTAACGACCTTTAGACTTTCTAAGAGAGAAAAATAGCTCTCAATTTTCGTATAGAAAGAATCACAAAGATCTTACGTAAAATTAAGAAAATAAACTTGATATTATTTCTCGAAAGAAATGTATGTTACATCATCAAATGCTGCGAAACTAATTTTTAGCGGTACACAAGTTTCTTTAATATAAAACAAATTATTTTTGCTTTAAGATTTAAATACTGATATTAAGATTTAATTATTAATATTGAAATAAATAAATATATATACATACAAAATAAAAAATATACAGTATCATGATAATCATGCCTCAGCATATGCAAGCGTGATGCTTCTATAATCGGTCATCGGCATTCTATATCTACAACTGTGATCAACATTCCTCTCGTCAAACTACCGTCAAATTATTTCTACAGCTGGTCTCATAGGCCGCGAGATTCTTACAAGGAAATGCACCTTTCACGAGCAGCTTCTTACTGATTCAAATTATGCAAAGTTCGCTGAAACGCGATCATATATAATAAATTAAGACAGAAATTTCAAAAAATTATATATAAAATTTAAATAAAATTTTTTATTTAAATATTTTCGGCAAAGAAAGAAAAATCGACTACTATGTACATTAAAGAATACAATTTTGAGTCTTATATTTCAGCAAAATATTGCACTATTCTACTGCATATGTATTACCACAAAATATGCAATTCCGAAACATAATACATTTAAACTTTATAATCGATCATATCATATGAAATATTATCAGAAACTGGATAAAGGAAAAGATAAAACATTCAGATAATGATATCATGGTGGAGATATATAATATGAATATTATTTAAACAAACATCACAGTTTGATCAAATAATTGCAATTATTTGTTTTCTACCGTTTTATATTTATATGTATATTTTGCGAAATAATTTATATTACGTAAAATCGACATGATCATCAAGTAATTTTTATCTACACTGAGAAAAAAGTATTAATTTGACTAAACCGTTCAACTAAATTACTATTTTGTTAATTGAACATATATAGATAATTAATATGTTGTATTTAATTTAAATATTTTTATATGTTCAATTAACAAAAGATTTTAAATATTTAATTGAACGATTTAGTCAAGTAAACTTTGTTTCGGTGTACACTGCGTATTAATTTCTAAATAAAATACATCGCGGGACACAATGAAACTCTTACGATACAATTTGCCGCGCAAGAGAGATTAGTAATAATGAATAATTTTATTATGGACCGCCGATAGCCTTTCAACCTCTCTTTCTCTAGATGTCCCGTGACGAAAATCAAAGACGCGATTCGATAATTGAAAAACGTGTCGACGGGCGACGTTGACTCTCTCGTAGAAACCTCGCTCTCATGATAGTGATTGAATTTTTTTGCGAGTCGGCCGTCGTAAAATAAGAGCCAGGCCACCTTCGAGGGAAAATATACTAGTTAGAGGTCTGACATCGTCGAACGGGGAAATCACCAGGGTATAAATAGAAGATGACTCGCGGCCTGAACGCGAACATAGCTTAGCTCGTATCTCCACGTGAGTATCGATACACAGCGATGGCCGATCAATGCTCCTTCAAAGAGGTGTTAATGAAATGGATTAACGCCTTTGGATGCGCGAATAGTCGGATGCTCTCACATTTCAAAAATAACCGAGAATGCGCGCGAGAGATTCCGCATTGCGGATGTAAAAAGTCGATATATAACGAGAGTTGCTCTCTTTATTTACCTCCCGATATCAACTTTGATCTTTGTACATTTCGAGCTGTTATCTTTGAATATAATTTTCAATTAAAAAATATTCCTAGCGTCGCCTAACAGAATTATTCAAAGAATTTTAATTTTGTTTTAAATAGAATTTCATATAGAAACTTCGAACCTCGGTAACTTTCTCTGATTAATTATGCATTAAGGAATTTCCTGTTCAAAGTGAAATTTTTAAATGTAATGCTACTAATGCTATATAATTTACATTTACTTAGAAAATTTTTGTTGTGTGATTAAGAAAATAAATTCTTTCTAAAATCGCTTTAAACTCTTCCTAATAGTAATATAATGTTGTGTCAAAGTTTTTTTTTTAAATTTTATTTGTTATAAAAAAAGTCAAATAAATTACAAAAAAAAACTACACTAGAGAAAAATTTGTTAGCTTGACAAAACCTTTCAATTAAATATTATTTTGTTAATTAAACATATATAAATATTTAAATTAAATAAACATTAAATCTAACAAAAACATATATTTTTACTTTAAATAATATATGTTCAATTAATAAAATAGTAAGTTTTCAGTCAAGTTAACCATTTTTTTCACTTGGAACCTAATCAAAGCTTCGAAATCTTAATAAAAATTTTAAATCTTTTATTTTTGCGACAATATTTCAAAGAAATCGTTCAAACTAAAATAACAGATTTAAAGAAAAGATACTTACTTTGAGGGCATACTTCTGTCTCGTGTTTCTGTCATAACACTGCACGACTTTTCCGTTGATACCGAGACCCAGCACGTGATTGCTGATCTCATAATCGTCTGTGATAGGCGTGACTTTCGGCGATAGGCGACTGTTCAATGGATGTTCCATGGTTTTTCTCTTGATCCTTTCCTGGGCTTTTTGTTCCGGTATTTGATCGTAATCCTGTCTAATCATCTGGGTCACCACCACAGGTGGTGCCGAGCGTTTACGCTTGCTCTCCTTCTGGTCGTTCTCCTCGAGAACGGCCCTCTTGGACGTCCTGCAAAACAATATTTGCGTCATTCCATATACATTTATAATACAAGGTGCAAGAAGCGCGCGAACAAGTGTGAAGGTCAAGCGAGCACGAATGCGTATAAAACTTTCGCATGGAAAAATACAATATTCCAGATTACGTGGCCGATAACGGAAATCTTACGTCCGATAACGTCTATCGAGTATGTATGAGAGATATACAAGAAACTGAGTTCTACAATTATCGAAGTATACGCGTTATATTGGCAGAATGACACTGACATTACACAATAGGAAAATGTTTTTTTATTAAAAATGGTCCTCGTTAAAATTTTTGTGTTAAATTACATGTGTTTAACATATTTATGCATCTATTTTTCATTTTACACAATAAATAAAGTGACAAGATTTATTTGTTCAAATTTGCAGAAAAAAATGTTGATTTTTTTATTTTATAAGTCGGAATGATAAAAACTAAAATTAACATAATTTTAATTAATTTTTACTTTAAAACTATGTTAATTTTACACAAAATTTATTTTAAATTACTTGAAGTTTTGCATTTATTTCACAATATTTGTGTCCTCTTATACTTAATTCCTTTCTTAAAATAAAATCACGTCAAAGTTTGAAAAATTACTAAATAAATATACAGATAAAGAAATGACATTATATTCGATACAAGAGGATATAGAGAGTTATAAATATTCGTAAGACATTTGTCGTTGAAGTTAACTTTAAATACCCGTTTCGTTTACTATTCCAGTCAGTTGTCGTTTCAATGAAACCGTTTGCATAACCTTCCTCGAAGAATGTGCAAGATTCATGTTATTTCGCGCATACACATACATGCGTGCCCTACCTACACAGCTTTACTTATATGGTATGTGGTTACCTCGTGCCACAGCGCAATTTGCACACCGCAATGCAGTACATGCGATCATTGAATTTACCAATTGCAACAAAAAAAACGTTACACACACGCATTTGTAATAGTAATATGCAAGATTTAAGATAGATAGATAGATTAAATAGATAGATAAGATAGATAATCTCACAATTTTCTTTAGTATATTTCGTTCATCAAATTATTATTATTATTTTATCAAATTATTTCATACACACATATTTTATTTCCTTCTTCTTATTTTATTTATATGAAATTATCTATTATCTATATATAATATTGGTTCAATAAATATACTATACTTAGCTATATACATCTTATACTATATTTCTAATCTACTGCATGCGATCTTAAATACTACTAAATATAATTAACTATAGGACGGAAATAATTGGATAAAAATTAAAAATAAAAAGATTATTAATAGTATCTAAATACACATCAAAATCAACATCATAAGCAACTGGCCAACATAAAAATAATTATTACAGGAAAAAAGTATTATAAAGTCCAAGAAATTATGTTAAAAGAAATACTGTAACAGTTATTGTAAATCGACAAATTATTAATGTGACATATATTTATCATTAATTGTTAATATGCATCATCGTTTATTACTCAAGAAGGAAAAAAGTATACAGCATAAGAATTAAATAAAATATAAAATGCTAGCAAAATTAGTTTCATCGAGCAGGATAAAGTTTGGTTCAAAAATCACATAGAACATTGAAAATTTTCATCAAAGACAATTATAACTGAATAAATCAAAATTAATTTTCATTAAAATAAAATCTAACATAACGAACAAATTATAACTTGTAGATCATTTCAAACATTGCATCGACAAGTCAATAGAAAATTCAAGTTCTGATTATCCTTTGTGAGAAGTTAGTAGAGCAGATACAATTGTTAACCAGGGTCAATTCTCTTATTGTTTGCATAAAAAAATTGTTATCGCGAAATGTAACAGCGATGTATCAATGATACATCGACAAGCTGTGAGGGAGGAGTTGCACTAACAACTTGCTTAATTAAATTACTTATTCGACTGGCTCTTTATACATAGATCGACTCTTTAAATGATATAAATAAAACAGCAAAATTACGAACCAATTAATTGCAATTACCTTTAAATATAATATAATATAATATAATATAATACAATATACAAAAGGAAAATTTGTAAATTAAGTCAAGCAACTCTAAATATCGATAATTTCATATTGTTTTACAATACTGAAAGTACTTATCATACGCAATTATTTTTTTATTTTATAATGCAGCTTTAATTCAAAATTTTTTTATTTAACACATATGTACAAAATATAAGAAAATAAAATCTGAAAAAATAAAATCTAATAAAAAAAGTGATCAGCAACGATGCTAATGCAACTGGAGCTTATAATATATACGATCTTCGCGCTATGGAAGAGAATGTACATATATATATATATATATATATATATATATATATATATATTCAGGCTTTACATATTGTTGCATATAAAAATAAAAATAAAAGAGACCTCCAGAATTTCCACTTAGTTGCCGACTTCGACATCGATGTGGCTTTTAATTTTCGCACAGTTAAATCCCGAATCGTCAGGGGACGACAAAGCACGACCCCGGCCCCGTGCTGTAAAAGCAGAAGAGGAGCCTTCCGGATGCAACGACGAGTGACACGTGGGGGATGCAGTTGTTACGGAAAGAATCTGCCCAGAGAGATTTTTCCACACAGAGCGCGTAGAGAAAAGCGAGAAGTTTTTTTAAGTCCCACCGCACTCTGTCTATTTTGCCTTTGCGGTTTTTTTTAATCGGAAGTCAAGCCAAAGGATAATCAGGTCGAGCTGAAAACTGAAGATAAAGATACTAGTAACAATTCAATAGCACGAACATATATTAGGCACAAAAGCGTCTTGTGGATCGAGCTTAATGAAGAAAGCATTTCCCGAATAATATTCTATATGATCGAATTAATAATCGGATGTTGTTGTATTTCCGGTGTTTTTGGATACTGAATTTATGATCCCAAGCTGAATTTAACATCTTTCGGCATCCGAGTTTCAAGAAATTTTAATAATAATTTTCAATTACTTGATTCCCACAGAAAGATGATCTTAAGAAATATTTTATTTCACGTTTTTGCCGACAAATTTCAGAGATTTAATTAATTTGGATTTAAAAAAATATTTGAATATTTAATAATATTTATAATATCTTCTTCTATCGAATTTTATCATTCTGCTTTGCATAAAATAATTATTTTATTCCACTGAGAAACGGAGAAATAAATGTTTTAATATATTTCAAATCTATAGTGCCGAAAACGATAACTTTTTATCGCCCATATTTTTCATTCATATCTTTTCCATAGCAAATCCGTACTATATCACGTTGTTATGCAAATCGTATGTGCAATGAAGAAATGAAACTCGTTCGTAAGCAATTAAAAACAAAACGAAGCAAGAGTCGAACAACAGCGAGGAAGATATATATTTGCACATAATCGCACACATCAACAACCACTTAATTAGCAAGAATTATCGACGCAGACATGTGATGTTGAATTTTTGAACCGATAAATTAAATTTTAATATTCTATACAGTCACTAAAAAAAAAATTATTTGACTTATTGTTAACAAAATCTGCGGTCGAATACGTGCAAATATCAATGTAATAAGAACTAAATATTGTGTTTTTAACAAAATATTTTTTGTTTTTAACTAAATAATTTTGTTAAAAACACAATATTTAGTTCTTATTAGATTAATATTTAGTTGCACGTATTCGACCGCAGATTTTGTTAAGTCAAATAATTTTTTTTCAGTGTAAGAATATTTCTCTTGTAGCTTTCTCAAGGAAAAAATAAATGAAAACAAAACACGTTTAAATTAGATTCGGAATATTAATAGAAATACGATGAGATCAGCCCGAGCTTGGCCAAAAACAAAGAACGAAACGAAATCGGAATTATCGATTAAAAGTTCAAACTGGCAGGCAAACGCACGTAAAAAATGTGACAAAAAAATTCGTCTCGTTGCGTAATTGTTGTGAATACAGTTACCTTGGAACTTTACTTATATTCGATATAAAAATCGCATATACAAATATCATATTTACATCAGGAGAAGATGACAATCAGGTTTAACATTAAATGCACAGTGAGGAGAAATAAAACAAAAGTGCATACACAATTAATATTATAATTTTTAATACAGAAGCTTATTAAAAAATACATGCAACATTAAAGTCTGACAATAAGCGTATAAAGCAATAGAAATAATAATAAAAGTTCGAATTTAAAATCTTTGCTCCAATATTTCAATTTAAATGTCTTCACATATTAATATTCTTTTAATTTTTTAGTAATCAAAATTATTACTTTGAAAATATATATTTCTCTATTACAAAGATTAAAAATTTAAACAATTACTTTTAAAAAACATGTAGAAGAATATCTACAATCTATTCAAAATCTATTCTGAATAAAAAGCCACGAGTATGTTTTCTTATCTTTATTTCACAGATAAAACAAATATTTTTCATGAAAATATTAATAAAAAATCAACAATAAAAATAAAAAAAATCAATAAAAAAAAATATTACATTTGGAAAATGTTATCTATTATTTTTATCTGGTGAATAAAAAAATTATTTAAAATAAGATTTTGAAAATAGATAAACATACTATATAATCTTAAATCATATGCTTGAAATTATCTTTTCAATAAACGCGCGAAAAAAAACAAGCAAAAGAATAAAAATAAATGATCAATTATATAATGTCTAAATCTGAATTATTATAAATTATATATATTATTATATAATTATATAAATATAAATATATATAATTATATAATTATATATTTACTTATATATATTTATAATTATATATTATTTAATAATATAATTATATAAATACATAATTATGCGAAAATATCGACTGAACTAAATAAAATCAAACATAGAAATTGAAGAATCGATCAAAGCAGCGTTAAAACAATCGATTAAACGTCAATAAGACGGAGTCAATGAACGAATATTACATACCCGTCTGCGGATGCACTTCTCGGAATCGGGGCTTATAAATCCTGTCACAGGATCATGTTTCTCATAAATCTCATACACTCACGCCGGCATTATTTACACTCGTAGTGTGAAAAATCAAACGTGTGTTTCATCGATCACGTTTCTCGGGGAAATTATCGTAAAATCGACACTCGGTCTCGAGAATAAGAAACCGAGAGACGCTTCCTCCTTTATAAAGAGGAGTCGCACTGGCAGTTGTACCGAGTCGTCCCTATATACTTGCTACCGGTTCGTTTGGAGAGGTCTCGTTTCAAAGCTCTTCGGGATTGTTGCGCGATGTTGAGCAACGACGATATATTTCACCGGGCGACTCGATTTTCAGGCCGATCAATTCCGTCGTGTTGGGTCAAAGTCGAAGGATCACTGTCGTCACTCAATACACCGTGATTCTCGACAGACAGATAGGACCTGCGACACGACGGAGTACGCGAAGAACCACGTCGAAAAAACGCCCCGCGAACACTGGCGCTCTCGATGGCGACGCGGCCGCTTCTGAGGCTGTCGCGCTATGACTCATTGCGCAGGGCTGATCTCAGGGACGAATTAACACGTGGCGCGTCGTATTACGGGCAGTTTAGATTTTTAGATGATTTAAAAATAAGCAAGATAAAGATGGAGATAGAAATACGTAAATTCATCTTAGATAAGATGAAGATGATTTTGTTTTAAATATATCTAGATAAAAGATAAAATTATATGGCGATTTATCTAGATAATTTTCTAGATAATAACTTTTAAGGCTCCTTATTATTGATCCTCATCAACCATGTGGAAATCGTGATGTCAGAAGTGAGAAAATACACGCTGAAAATTTTTGCGTGCCATTTTTAGATAAAAAGATATATTTCAATGAACCAATAACACTACAAAATCCTTTGACACGCTTGTAAGATTATCCGAAAACTAACCTTTTCCCTTTATAATCAATTAATAACTGTAAAATGACTGAAATATGAGGCCCAGTTTGTCTGGTCCTTGCACATGCGCAGTCATTTCGCATGACGAAGTCTGATGTTTCAATTAATTATTTTACGGCTGCGTTGATTGACTGTCAAAGAAAAAGGATAGTTTTCAGATAATCTTACAAGTGTGCTAAAGAATTTTATAATGTTGGTTCATTGAAATATCTTTTTATCTAAAAATGGCACGCAAAAATTTTCAGCGTGTATTTTCTCGCTTCGACGTCATAATCCAATATGATCGCGGCGGGGATCCTAAACGTCCTTAAGGGGATGCCGGTTGTCTGTTTTATCGATCAGATGATTATAGATTTTTCTGCACCGAGATCTTTTTATTGGTTTAATAAAATAATAAATGCTTTTCCACAATTAAAACACGTACAGAAACAAAGTGGGAACCTACTGATTTTATGTTAAAAATAAGAAAAAATTTAAAAACTAAAATTTCTTTATCGACTTCTGTCGTCAGGTCGAAAAAATAATTGTTTAATATAAAAGTTCTGCTGTTTGTACGTACAAAATAAGATAGGTTCCGACTAGAAATTGAATGAAGAAGTATTAGTATATTTTTAGATATAAGTTTAAAAGCCTAATAAATAAGAAAACGATGCAGAAAATTTTCACGCATATGTGTTGTATACGTGCATATGTTTAGACATGTGTGGTGCTAACCTATCATGTGTATATGTGTATACGTGCATATATGTTTAGATATGTGTGGTGCTAACCTATCGGAGTTCGGCCATCTTTCCGGCATCCCCTTAAGAAGTCTATTGTTTCTTTCCTGTTTTATCGACAAAATATGAGGTTAGATAAACTATAAACCTATTTATTGGCTATACGGATTGTTTATTATCTAAAATTAGAGTGATTCGCTCTTTGTTAATATTAATACTTTAATTTGTACAGGAAAAAGATTTATCAACCTGTATAGTCTCATATATCTAGATTACAAAATTATGAATTCAAGATTCCGAGTATTATAATTTAATCGTAGTAGTCAAGGCTCTTATTAAATTATAATAAATTTGATAAAAGGCTGTTAAGAGCAGTAAATAAAAAAATTCAAATTATAATTGAAAGTAAAGTCATATATAAAGATAATATTCTTTAATCTAATGTTTAATAATGAATTACAATAAAATAAGATGACAAAAAAGAATTAAACATAAGTCATCTTTAAATACAAATACACAGCGAACGTTTCGGTCAACTTTTTGACCATTATCAACGCTGATTAAATTCTGAATTTAAAAATAAACGGTGTCATAACGGTAACATATACAATCATAATTTGAATTTTCAATCATAATTTAAATTTTTTATTTACTGCTCTTAACAGCCTTTTATCAAATTTATTATTATAATTTAACCTAGATATATGAGACTATATATACAGATTGATAAATCTTTTTCCCGTAGAAATTAATACAGTATTAATATTAACAAAGGGCGAAGTGCTCTAATTTCAGGTAAGAAACAAACCATATAGCTAATAATAAATAGATTTATAGTTTATCTAACCTCACATTTTGTCGATAAAACAGGAAAGAAATAACAACAGATTTCTCAAGTAAACAGTTATAAAAAAAATATAAATTATAAAAGAGATATAAAAATATATTTATATTTTTATTTATAAATTTTATCACTTACTGCTTAAATTTCTACTATTTAAGTATTTTTATGTATGCTATAATTCTAAACCAAAATTATCTGAAAATTATTCTAGATAATTTAGTAAATAATATTTTTTTTTTATCTAAGACACAGATTAATAGATAGATCGCCAAAGGCCTGTCTAAAAAGGAGACCGTCATTTTTGCCCCTGGTTCGAGTCCAGGCTAATAAAATCCTTTAATTTTACCAAAAAAGTTTGCCTTTGGTGCGAGTTCAGGCTAAAATCTTTTTATTTTACACGTATAATCTCCTCTTTAGACAGGTCTTTGGCGATCTGTCTATTAATCTGTGTCTAAGATGCAGATATAAATAATAATACATATTTTTATTATCTATATAAAGATAAGACGCCAAAATTTCATCCAGACGATCATCTATATAATTTTATTTAGATAAAAGTAAACACTGATTACGGGACCGCTTCCCAGTGAGAAATAATGGTCGAATCGACGTCGATTCGTTGTCAAATCGATGTCAAATTCATCGAATCAACGTCGAATCGATTAACGATTCGACCAATCATTTCTCACTGGATTACTCGATAAATCCTTCGATCGATGAAAAATGTTTCGCTCTTCGCGATTTTAATTATTTTCTTGATGATGCACGTTTTCCTTAATAAAGATTTAATCTGTCATTTTTTCATACTTCTTAATTTCGGAAATGTAACTCTGATAATCTCAAATTAAAATTTCCTGAAATTAGTACAAAAGTTAATAAAGCTAAGATACTCAGAAAAGTATTTGATATACAAATAAACTATAACACATCAAATACTATGTATACCAATTTTTTGTGATTTACTGTTAGTTACAATATATCAATCCATTACATATTTTGATATTTATCATTATGTCAATTCTGATCATTAAAGATTAATATTAAAAATGTAACTCTTAGTTCAACAATAAAAATATAAAACAATTATATTGTTTCCATTTCTATAATATATATTTTATAAAAAGACATTGAAAATAAATATCGAGAAATATAGGTATAATTTAGACATACATGTTTTTGACATATACAATTCAAAATCTTTTCATATTATATAGTAATATAGAAGAATAAAATATTATTACAGTACATTTAAAATAAAAAATTAGGAAGGAATAGATACGAAAACTACATATCTATGACTTAATATTTATTTATTTTCTAGTAATATTTATTTTTTATCGTAAGTATGTTATATATTTCGCGATAAATTTAAATATCTATGTCTATGTATATATATAAGTATGTACATATTATTTTCTTTCTCTTCATGAAATTGCGTCGTAACAAATTTTCAGATATCTTTAATCTTTGAACTATATTTCGTATCTTATATAACAATAATTACAAAATCCTTAACGTCCATATAAATATCTTTCTTATGTAGGCACATTCTTATATGTATGTACAAACTTTCTTTGTAACATGTTCTCGAAATATTTTGTATTGTCCATTAAGGATATAAATCCGAAATTTAAATGCTATTGCAGCGTGAGTCTCTAAAACAATATTTGTTTACAAATAATACATATATTTTAAACGTAAAATAACATTATGAATGCAAAAAGCACTTAAATCTCGGAGCGAATCCAAGTCGTTTAAACTGCGCTTTAAATATATAAATATTTAAACTATTTCTTAATATTTAATTAATTAAAATCATATTCGGGATATTAACGATGAAAATATTGATCATCTCAGCAGCAAATACGTCAAACATCGAATTACATTTGATTATTATTAAGCATGATGTTATATAATCACCATAACAATAAGTATATTGTGAAGGATCTTTTCAAGTAGTTCTAATCTCTCATTATGCCATTTTAATATTGTCTAATTCTTATATCAGCTTACAATATCCCCATATTAGGCTGGAAACCTATTTAGCAAATTATTCATATATGCTTTTGATTATTTAATATTACAATTATAATTTAAATATGCTTTCTCTCACAAAAAAATTTATTTATTACAAAAAATTTAACAAAATAATGTTTTTCAAAATTATTTTTATAATTTAAAATTTCTTAAAAATAATTTTAGAAAAGTTATAAAAAGAATATAAAGCTGCCAATATAATTTTAATCAATTAGAAGTTAATTGATAAAAGAATTGATGAAATATTAAATATATAACTTAAAAATACTAGTATTATCTTACGTTTTCCAGAACCATGAAATATGTTCAAAGTATATACTGGATGTTCCAGATTTCCCATGATTTTATGGTAGATTTTTAAATCCCCACAAAAATAAAAAAAAATATTGAATATTAAAATATATCAATAATTATTAAACAAATATGTTTAATAATTATTAATTGATGAATTAATTTCATAGAAGAATTCTGGAATATCCTGTTACATATATAATTACTATTCTTACAATTATTAAGATATATAATGATAATTAACAATGTGAAATTTACATTTAATTAAGTAACTCATGTACAATTGTTATATTTACCTCAACTGTATTAAGTATCCAAGCTTCTCTCTTAAAAAAATATAGTATTTTTATTGTCTATTTTGAACAATAGATAATCAGTGCACACAAAGATTTTAATTCAATATTAGAATCAAAAAGGACCGAAACGTACATTTCAAAATAAACTATTTTAATAAGAAAGAAAGAACAATTTGTGCACTGTTAACTACACTAGGTTTTTAAATAGAATTAGTCCATTATCCTTTGCTTGTGATATTCAACACTAGAGCCTTCTAATTCAATTTAGAAGCAAAAATATATTAGCATAATATTTATATCATATTTCTTTTGTTATAAAATTGTTTATGTTACATGTTTTACTAAGCAGCATAAATAAGTAATAGTGTCAATTTTTCTTACTTTTTGTGTATCACATATTTCATCATTTATTTAAAACAAAAAATTTCTTTCTTTATATACAAGAAATAAATTAAAGTTTTGAAATAAATTATTTTTCGACTATTAATAATGACAAAATAAACATATCGTTATTGTGTTTCAAGTTTTGTGTAAGTAATATGCCGATATAAAAAAAAATTTGTAAAATTATATTTAATATTAAATACGCTAAGGCTCTTACATAGAGATCAGCTAGAAAAGCTCATTTTTAAGATAATACATTTTGTTACATGCATACTTAAAAATGCAACAAAAAGCATTGTTGTATTTTCATTTAACTGTATATATGTATAAATATTATAAAAGTCAATATTCCCTGATTATCACTTCACAGAGATTGCTCATTTTAACAAGCAATGTTATTTAAGCTCTCACTTGAAATTGTAATTGTATATTCTAGAAGAGTATACAAATAAAATTTTTAATTTTAAAATCAACTCAACTAGAGTGTCAAGCTATCATATATTCTTTTGGGAAAGTTTTGCATAACGTTCATTTATATAATAAATATAAAGGATTTTATTGGACATCTAATTATTGTAAACAATTAGACATCTTGCAAATAACTAACAGTAAATATCTATAATTTAAACATAGATGTACATATATCTATTTAAATATAGATACATATGTATAATTATATCAATATACTATAATAATCCATATATATCTATAATCAATTTGACCTTATGCGCATGTTTAATAGTCATATTATTATATCTTTGTGTAGAGAGATATTAAAGAAGAAAAGGAGGAAAAATGATTTTGACTCCTCACATGTCTTTTGCACATGACTTTCTCGTCTCGTTGTATTGAAATGTTCAAGGCATTCAACACTTATGCATACATCACTATTTTAGGTCACGACTTACATTGCACTGACAGTATTTGTCACCCTGCGTGACTTTCCGGCTCGGCTTTATAATCTTGCATGGTAAGGATGTAAGGCACAACGCTAGCTACACTTACTCGACCAATCAGACCTGAGAAAAAAAGGTCCTCCAAAACTCTAGGATTAATCGATCGGAGAGGCGCTAGCCTCAAGAGAAGACGAGGTAATCTGTCCGAGCCCGCGCGTTGTTGTAATTCCGTCCATGCCGCTTCTTGAAGAACTTCAACTTTTTTACGCCACATACCTGCTAGAATATTATCTAAAAAGATAATAAAATGTTCTTTATTTCAATATACGTAAGTAGATAATCTTTAAATATAAATTTAACATATATAAGATTTTTGCGTTATTCAATAAATAGGATTAAATACGTATAGATAATCTTTATTGTTTGTATAATCTGAATTTACTCACCAGCGCTAAAAAGCGTTAAAGCTTTAAGATAAGCGTACTCAACGGAATCCACTTGCAACTTGTGCAGTGAACTCACACAATCCTGTAATCTACATATATGCTCCGTAACACATTTTACTTTGCTAGCTGTGACCTTTTCTTGCGCAATACTAGTTTGCAAGTGATTGATTATCGACGACAGAATACTAGGAAGAGAAAGTGTGTATGCGCATTGTGCTAGACCTAGTGTAAATAATTGTCCCCAGGAACTTCGCACTAAAGTAGTTTGAATTTCAGATCTAAACCACGAAAAACAAATTTATTTTAGATAATGTTCTGCTCGAGGTATATGATTAAAACAAACATATACATAAAATATACTTACGGCAAAGCTTGAAATGCTGGAATTCCTCGCGCCCAATGTACAGATAAAAATAGTAACCTAGCCGCGCTTTCGCATATGTAATGAATAGATAAATATACGGGTGCCGGGCTGGGCGCCCTCAATTCAAACAATGTATTTCGTTCGGAAATTAATTGACCAGTCCATTCTTCTTCCGGTTCGCTCGAACCATTAACGGTCTGCAAGTACATATTGCAGCACATTAAATTCTACTCGTATAGAACAAAATAATACTAAGACATATGACAGACTTACGTCACCGATGAGTTTAACCATACTATCCAACGCATGGGAGATGAGTAAACGGTCGCGAGCTAAGGTTAAAGCATCACTGAGATCGCTGTCGCTACTTTGATCTTCCATACTAGGACTCTCGGGTTGTTCCCAAGCTGGGGGCACCTCGGGTGCGGGTTGTTGCGGTTCTGGTTTTACTCTGGTGCTGCGGTTACCTACTTTTGTCGCGGCCGATTCACCCAACACGGGTTTTCTCTCATGTTGGACAGCTGCGACACATGACATCAATTATGTTAATTATCGCCTACAATATATTTTAGAAAATAAGCTCGATACGATAATAAATAAATTTTACTTACAGTCGCTTCTCATGCCCATAGCCAGGCACTTCTGAAGCCTACAATACTGACAACGATTTCTGTGGTGTTTGGTAACTTCACAACTTTTGCTTCCTCTGCACTGGTAACCCAGTTGCTTGCGGATACTGCGTTTAAAAAAGCCCTTGCAACCTTCGCAGCTGATCGCTCCGTAGTGTCTGCCGCTAGCTCTATCTCCACAAACTACACAGAGTTCTAAGGATAGTCCTAAACCTAATGATCCGCGAACATCTCTCGCTAATTTCACCTATAAGAAAACGTTGAAATAAATGATAACATTTAAAACAAATTAACACGGTTCAATGATGGATATTTACCTCGACATCGATACGTACATCGTTACTCAAATGCTCCATACCAGGATGCAAATGAACCATTCCAGCATGATGACCCAGATTGCGGAAATCTCTTCCTATTTTATGGTCCATTTTATCATCATGCATATTGTCAACGTGATTATTTTGATCCCTATCTACGTCCCTCTGTAAAGATAAACGTAAAAATCAATATCTTATTGATAAAACACGCAAAAATTTCCACAGAAAAAAAAATTTTTAAAAAATATTCTAAATTCTCACCATAGCTGGGTGATGCCCTATACTATGAAAATTTCTTCCTAATTTCTCGGATTTATCGTCGTGCAAGTTGTCGACGCGATCAGCCGGATCGATTTCCATGTCTCTCTGTAACAGAATAAGCATTTTAAAGTCAGTATCTACGTGTATAAATTCATTATTAAATTTTGAATTAAAAAAATAATAATAACCCAATGACAATTTCCCAATATAAATCCCAATTACTGATTTCTTAAAAAATAAATTACTGGAAATCAAATTATGACAAACAATGAACCTCAGTCTCGATGTCCGACATACGATCGTGCTGATGAGAGAAATTGCGGAAATCCATTCCAACTTTACAATCTGACTCCTCATTCAGATTATCATGATTGCGTTGTTCTCTATGGTCTCTGTCCATTTCTCTCTGTAAAACGGATGGACGCCTCCGTTAGACGCGGGTATTATTATATCTCAGGTGCAAGAAATTTCCACGCCTATCTCGTAATATGCGCGTTACCGTTTCGTTAAAACGCCGGGAGAGCATTATTACAAACCGAAAGCGTAAACAGATGGATTTTCTTTCAATGCGTGTTAAACAAGCATTAATGATTTTTCAGCCGGATATTACAATCCTCAAATTATCGGTCTGAACATGCCGCTTCAACATTTTATAGATGCATTGAATAAAAAATTGAAGATTTAGCACCGTGAAAGAGAGGTCAATAATTCATGATAAAATCTTCATAACAGATATATCATAATTTCATTTAAATGATAATTCTATCGAGAATGTAATTTCAAAATTAGACAATAAAATGAACGAAAAAATACATAAGAGATAATACGTAAAAAAATAAATGAAAAATATACATATAAATAAAATTTAACTATTAAAAGATTTCAAAATAATTTTTAACAATAAATTAATAAATGAAACATACATGTGACATATATACATTGTCGAAAAAATATATATATAATAATCAAATTTATTTCGATATAAATATTATATGTCACAATAAAAAAGCGACTAAAATTGTTTCTAATTCATCTTTTTGTTAACTGAACATGTAAAAATAACTGTAAATTAAATATACCATATTAAATCTAACAAACCGTGTATTTGACTCAAGTACTAATATATGTTCAATTAACAAATTAATAATTTAGTTGAAAAGTTTAGTCAAGTTAACAATTTTTTTTTCAATGTGTACATGTTACATAAAAATTGTTTATCATTTACTATCAAAAATTTAAATAGATGTCTAAATATAAATTTGATAAAAAATTAGACGCAATAATTCTGATCTTAGCTCGATGTGTCGAGTGTCATTGTTGTTTACAGAGAAGTGCACTGTTCTGTGACGATTCAATACCGATCCCTCGTTCCTTTAAGATTTCACGATATTTTATCGCGGCGAGAGAAAAAGAGGAGAGAAAAACAGAGACGATTGCGCGATTCAAAGTGTTTGAGGAACTAAGTGCATCAGAGGCGCGGGATAAAAATGTAAACTGGAGCATTTGCCGGCCCGTCTCCCACTTGATGCCAGGGAGAAACCTTCTCGTTCCTCTCCCTCTCTTCGTTCTTTCGCTGCCCACCTTCCTATAGCGCGTTTTGAGAGGTGAAAGAGATGGTCCCGAGTTCTTCGTAGGTTGCTACGCGGTTAGCTAGCTAGGTGCATGCCGATGTCCGGCTACGTCTCGCTAAGTTACATCGCAAACTGTAGTCTGTCATAGAGAGCGGTCCATAGTCTCGTAAAACGAAAACCGAACTCGAAATTGCCGTCACGATTTAGGATTCTCAATTTGGGACACCTGACAGAATTTAGAATTTACTCTGAAAATCATGGTAATCGTGAGACATTATGGTACTGGAAGAATTTTATGTATATACATGATAAAATTAATCGAATATATTTTTTATATTTTATTATGGTAGATATTAATATCTTTTATTTTGTGGCATAAATATTAATTTGAGAAATTCTTATAAAATTCTTGCAATGCCATATTGTCCTGCGATTATTATGATTTTCAGGATAAATTCTAAGAGAAAATTATCTCTGTATATCATAATGCAACACACTTTATACGAATGTTTAATTGCAACAAGTACCTTCCTCCCTAATCTGTGCAAAGTCTCTCTTTAATATTTAATGTAATTTTAGATCGAATTTCTCATATGTAATAATTTCGTATATCTCATATGTGTTGTAGACACTATAACTTTATTATATAAATATTAATGAAAAAGTTATCTAAATTTTAAATTAAGAATATAATTTTAAAAAGATATATAAGTTGAAGAAAAATTATATATTATATAACTTCTTCTCTTTGTTGACTTTGTTTTGCAATTTTTTTTTTAATATCTCAGCATTTTCAGGCTACGCTAGCTCATCATTAAAACGTGATACAATTTGAAAGTTGCATATGAGCGACTCTTGGATTAATTCGATGCCTCAAGGAAAAAGAAAACATTGCACTGTTATTATCGTAACATCGTCGTACACTTGTTGCACAAGTGTCACAAGTTGTCACAATAGTTGTCGAGGTCGATTCTCGTCCGGTCTTCCACGGAAATCTCACAATCAGTCTTCATTTTTCGATCTAAAATCTAAAACATCCATTCGATTTGAATTCTGGAGCAAACGGTGCTCTGATAAGAACAAACTTACTGTAAGTCGCACGCGCGAGTAAACCTTGATAAGTCGCGATAATACGCACGATTCGACGCGGAAGATCGAAACCAAAAACGGGAAAAAAAAACCTGATTCGCATACGATAATACGTAAGAATGTAGGCAGCTGTCAAATGCGCAAAAGGTCAACGCGAAACGAGTTTGCGGCAGCGATTCTCCTGAAGAAAAACCGTGCTCGCGAACTTTAAAGCCTGCGATATTCGCATATTGCGTTTAAAGTTATGAACACAATGCCAAATATTTCTAAATATTATTAACAGCACGCACACATACACACACACACGCGCGCGTCCAAATCACTCGGAACTCGCGAAGGTGCGAGGCGGCGCAGAATTAAACCTCCAGCTGTCGCTATTTTTGTTATCACACGATTAAAAATAAATAAAAAAAAAACCCCATATCGAGAGTCACTTTCGATTCCGCCGAGAGTCGAGCGAGAGCGATATCACTCCTTGAGTCGCGCTTGCGCGCAAAGTTCGAGGACGAGGAATGCACAATAAGCTACCTGTTGTTTCGGCTCGGGATCTCTGGGTCCCTGTAGATCCTGCGATCCTCTTTAAGGTATCCGTCTCGCTTAAATACGGGTCACGGCGTGGCGGCGAACGAGCCGATAAGGATATACATACGTATGTTTTTATATATATATATATATATATATATATACATTTAAGACGGAGACGCGACCGAAGCGTGCTTCTGGCACTCGTGGTTCGCGAGAAGACGAAGAGCCGCGCGCTGCCGCCGCACTTCTCTCGCAGCAACCTTGCACACAGGTGAACGCAGCCGGTCGGTCGGTCGGTCGGTTATAGACGGGCGAGCGGGCAGGCTGTTCTCCACGCAGGTTGGCAGGTCACTCTCTTGTGTGTACCGGGGCCGGCCAGGTGCATTCCCGCTCTTGTGCCAGGTTCTTTCCTCTCTCTCTCTCTCTCTCTTTCGCTCTATACCTGAGAGACCGGAGTTGTCACGTAACACGCCTGCGATCGATCACACGACCCCTTCCCTCCTACCTTTTTTCGTCTTTCCCGAAAAATGAACTTGCGATTCAGATGGAATATTTGTCCTTTGTATGTGTGATATTCACGAAATCGTGTTACCTCTGGTAAAGGATACACAGTAGCGGTAGAGCCAAGTTACAGAGTAATTGGGAAGGATCTTTCTCTATTGTAAAGAAATTCAACGATGTGGTGTACTGCATTCAGAAAACACCCAGACATCGGAAGAAAGTAGTGCATGCAGATAGATTAGCTCCATTTTTAGATAGAAATATCGTTGATTGTTAATTAGAAATAGGACAGAACCCGAATAAAGATTACTAGGGATTGGGGAGATGTGTTTGTGTGTAATGGTCGCAGGAACTTCTATCGGTTTTTTTTTTATATCTCTCGATGTTTTCACTATATTTTCGATATCTTTCGGTTGAATTTGAAGAAAAGATTGACTTAGCGAGACGCTACCGCGTCTCCTGATTTAACGAGATTTGAAATTTTAGACAAAATGATGTTTTTTTTACAATAGGTACGATTTTGACAGCAGGATTAAGGATCGTATTTTTGTCGATTTGAATAGGCTGCATTTCTTTCTAACAATAAGTAGTCGTATAATCGTCAGTTACTGACGTCAAAGGTGACCTCACCACGGGGAACTGAAAAAGGTTAAAGGACAAAGTATCCAATGGTCAGGCTAAAGTCACTACGGAATTCGAGAAAGAGATAAAGAATAATAGGAGAATATACGAAATTTCAAATTAGAATTGCGTGGGGAAAGAAATATGCGAAATGTCAAGAGAGAGAAATTTAATAAAGAAATCACAATAAAATAAATATATAGGATAACGCGAGAATCTGAAGAATGGCATTTTCGGACGCGGGAAATCTGTGGTGCAGCTATCGCGTTGCGAAAAAAAATTCGCAGCTTTTGTTGCCGAGCTGACCGCGGCGCGTCCGGATAGCGTGGCTTTTTCTCCGGTGAACGTTATGTCATGTATGCGATGACTTATCGGCCGACGTTGTCGAGGTCACCCGGCGACTGAGAATAGGTCGGACGCGCATGTGTGTGGCCGCGGATTAATAACGTCGTTTATGACTTCGCCGCGGTCTTTGTGCGATACCGCGATATTTCGGATTACGCTAACGCCACGTTTTCGTGTCGCGGGCAATAAAACATGATGCTTTAACAGTGCGAGAAATAATATTTCATATATGTACGGTGAGCATATTTTCTCGGAGAAAATAAAGAACAAATCGGAAAATTTTAGGAGATCGACATGCAAAAAAATTAATCGGACATATTTTATATCTTATTGTGGTAGATATTAATATTTCTTATTGTGGTAAAGATATTAAGCAGAAAAACTTTTATTATCCTATAATTATCATAATTTTCAGGCTAAATTTTAAGAGAAAATTCTTTCTGTGTATAGTTTAAAACTGATTCGACTGTTGAAATAAAATAAATCATTGGGTTCTTAAATACAAGTTTTGGATAAGTTCCGTTGGTTTAGTACAAATTCTCTGTTAATATACTACAAAACATACATATTAGATATTGTTTAATTTTTGTCATATATTGAATTGCATATGTTAACAATTACATATTTTAGTGTTCACTTGAAAAGGACCACAACCATATAGTCGAAACGTAGTGATTTTAATAAACGAAATATTACGCTAGTTTTGATCGATTATTTCTACTCTCTTGTTCTAATAACTAGTGACAAGGATTAATAATTTGGGAATTAAACATATTAGATATTAAATAAAAAAGGACAAAATTGAGTTTTCGAAAAATGAATAAATCTAAAAGACAGCTACTTGAAATAAAGAATTGTCCTCTAAAAAGGATTGATGTGGTCACCATGGATGTATATTATTAATAACGAGAAAACTGTCAGAAAGAGCTTAAACTTTCGTTGCATCGAAATAATTGAAAATGTCAAGTATTTCTTTGTGCGTGCTTCTGTAAAAATAAGAGAATACAGAGAAACTTCCATTCTTTTGTTTTCTAAATTATCGTACATATAAGTATACGCATTTACGTTTTTTCCTTGCAAACGTAAACGATCGGTTACCTTGTTTTTCTTTTTTGTACACGACGAGTTTGTTCTAAGGATTTCTCAAGGATTTCTCTATGCATTTATGTATCCTTCGCATTGTTCTGTGCACGCGTATAATCGACTGTTAAAACATGATGAAATTGTATATTCTCGCCCTTGTTTATACTCTTATCAAAAAATAGATTACAGATATATTCAACGAACGCGTGTTTTAATCTAGCAGCAGGTCTGAAGAGCTTTGTCGCAATCTTTGTCGGGAATTTTGAAGTCATTCATCGTGTCAATAGCGTTAATTGATTTGTCCGTAGATATTGTCTATTCTTCTTCCGTGGTAGCTAAAATAGATTATTCCGATATTTTAAAAAATTACGATAATTAAATTTAAAGTATATATAAGGGGAAAATTTATTTCGCGAAATGACGAGTTACATTCAGTATTGACAGTTCGTCACGTTTTTTTCTGTTTATAATTCGTTGCTCCAAATCTAAATTTTTCTAATGTCGAGATCGATTTTTGTCGAGCTAGATTGCGAATCGCGACTGGTAATTTCAGACAATTTCAAGCAATTTCAAGCAACCTACACAGAGAGAATTTTCTTTTATTATGAATTTATCCTGAAATTCATGGTAATCGTGGGACAATATGATATTGGAAGAATTTGATAAAACTTTCTCTAATTAATATTTATCACAATAAAAATATTAATAAATTAGGCAGGAATTTATTGACCAACACCGGCAAAGTTTAAATTTCTTTTATTAGAAAAGAAACGACGTTTCGACCATCAATTAGGTCCTCTTCAGGCTATAAAAATTACATAATACATTTCGGTAATACAATAAGATAAAAACAATAATATAAAAATATTAATATCTATCACAATAAGATATAAAATATGTTTGATTAATTTTATTAAAATATATAGTAAAATTTCAAATAATTTTAAAATATATTAGAAACTTATGATTCTTCAAGTATTTTAAATAAAATAAATGCTAAAAAATGATAAACAAAATATTTTACATAAATTTTACAATACAGCATATTTTCAATCCAGTTTAATCATTCATGATAATTTTAAATTCATGGTAATCGTGAGACAATATTAGAAGAATTTTATAAGTTTCTCTGATTAATATTTACCACAATAAAAATATTAATATATCTATCACAATAAGATATAAAATATGTTTGATTAATTTTATTAAAATAAATAGTAAAATTTCAAATAATTTTAAAATATATTAAAAACTTATGATTCTTTTCAAGTGTTTTAGCATCATGGTAATTTTCGGCTTATTATAAAAAATGATGAAAGTGTAGTGAATTTTACGATAAAATATAACGAAAAATTCTCTCCGCGTAAAAGATTCTCGGAATTGCTGTGAAACGATGAGATGGAAAATAATCGTCGGCGAGTGATTATGTTTGTACAATAGTACACGGTCCCCGGCAGGTAAAGGTCGTTCGTGGGTCCGAAGGTTACCTCTTCTCTACCCATCTTACCTACCTACCGTGATCGCGCGCATTGGCACGGATTTATCTTCGTCCCGCCCGACAGTGCATCGGGGTCGCCCATCGAATGGGATGTATGTAATTCTTTCCAAAAAGCGAGAGAGAAAGAGAGATGATAGATAAATTTGCACATGTAAAAGGGGCATCCAAAAATAAAATTGCGCACGTGCGCGAGTCGTCTTTATTGTCCTTTCCTTAATTAACGATTACGTTATCGAAATGTCCAAATTATTTCCAAACTTTTTTGAATATGTATAAACGTGGAATAAATATTTTACAAACTTCTGAATAAGTATATATATATGAATAATGAAAATGTGTCAATTCACAAGAGATTTACGTTTTCCCGCTCGATAAAGAATTATTCACGATAATTAAGACTTCCGGTCTAGAAGAAAGGCATCGGTCTACGATTGCAATTTTCAGAGAATACGTTCGCTGTTTCTCGCGCAAGGTGGAGCATCCTGTAGACGAAAGCGTTACGTCAGAGAGGAGCGTAAAACGCCCGAGAGAGACTTTCACAAGAAATATCTGATTGCGAGATTCGCGCGATGAAATTCACAAAAATGAACATTTCGCTCGTGTCACCTCGTATCGTCGTTCGATCCCAGAGAGACGCAGCATCTCTGACGACACACACACATACACAGACAGACACTCGTCCGAAATAACTCGACGCGCAACACGACGAAGAGGCGGAGATAGGAAGCCTGCGATTTCGCGTTGACACCATTCAAGCGGACACGAAGCGCTCCCGGACCCGACTATCGCCGCACTAAATTCTCTCCTCCCCGCTCACGTCGGCCAATCCGGGCGTAAGAGGGACAATAGGAAAAAATAAAACTTACAATAAAAATTTAAAAAAAAACCTAGAAACGTGTCGCGAGCTCTCACACTCACATTCTCGACGACGCCCGAGGTGCAACGCGACTCTTCCTTCCGGAGGAAGCCGAGATCGTCTTCGACGCGAATCGGAGAAGGATGATCCGGGGACTCACCTTCGCGATCAGCAGCGACGACGACTGATCCGTCCGTGCGTCATCAGAACCGTTCATAGCGGGCTGCTGCTGCTGGCTACCAGGCTTCGTTGCGCGCACATCCGCGGGTTAGAGTTCATAACCTCCTCTAACCTTTACCTTTTCGCCGTCTCCTGTCCCCCTACTCCGCCCGGCCGCGCCCCTGCCGCTCTCGCCTTCCCGCACGTACTACCTGACATCTCACGTCCCTCGCTGCGTCATCGAGTACGTGTCACGGCGGTGGCGAGAGTAGATCGACGATGGACTCCCGGATGCTGCGACGCGCAGCGCCATCCTTCGGACGCGCCACGAATCATCTGCAGCCATGTTGATAGGTTATTACAGGGCGCGAAATTTAAGGGCGCTCCTGCACGCTCGATTGCCAAGTCCGTGTTGACAATGATGACTTAATTCAAAACGGTGGAAATAATCTCTATATTGTTTTTATCGATAAAAGATGTACAAAAATGAAAGAAAAAATTATTATTATTATTAATAAATAATATGATTTTGTTTATTAATAAATAAGCACATTTTAGCAAACTAAATTATTCTTACGACTTCTACAGCGTTATTTTTCGTTTTAATAGTTTTTATGTTTAAAATAATTGTGGTGTTAAAATATACCGAAGACTCCTATTTTGGCATAATTTAATATGTGAAATATTTATTTAATTTCGATACCTGTCACACAGCTGGTTTTCGTCCTTTGTTAGGATTCATTTAATTCGACATATACATATATGTTATATATATATATATATATATATATATATATATATATATATATATATATATATATAATTTTATTGATTACTCAAACAAAAGAAAGTTTTCGATATATTTTACATGTTTATTCTATCGATTTCAAACGCTATTTATTGAAAAACATTTTTATTTTAACGTAAGTCGCAAGAACTCATATTTTCTCGCTTATTCTGACGTCATCAATCCAAAATGGCTGCAGTGAGTATTAATTAACAGAAGCCTTAATTTGAAGGAAAAAAAAAAAAAAACCCGCGTCAGAAATTTTTTCTTCTTTCGTGCGATAATTTTATCCCATAATTTTTAAAAATATATATATGACATTGAGTTTTATATAAACGTAATATGTATGATATTAAGTTTATTAATGTAAAAAATGTAATTCGATAAAATTTTGAGAAGTTGTTATATTGGTCGATTTTCCTATTTCTTTTGCTCGATTTCAGAATAAAATTTTGATGAAAAGTATGATTTTGTACAATCTGTAATTGAAATTTAAGTAAACGTAAACATTGAAAGATATATTTAGATTATATAAATAAACAGAGAGAGAAAGTGTCTTAAAAAATGACGAAATTGATTAAAAACATAAATAGTAAAATATTTTAAATTTTTTTTAAATTTATTTAAATTATAATTTTGCGAAAAAGGCCAATTGATAATTTTTCTAAGTTTATTATAAATATGATAAATATATAGCACAATGTGGGGGGGGGGGGGTTGCTGGGCACATACAGCTTTCTCTCTGTAATTTATTATGAAAGCTTCACCATTAAATGTCATAACTACTGCTAGTATATCACTACTATCCTTAATTTAATCGTAGGTATGTTTGTTTCAATTGCACTGGCTGTACTTTGTTCCTTGTCTCTTTTCTCTCTCCAAAGCTCAGATATATACCTATTTCATTTTAAGCGTAGAAAGTATAAGAAAGTGCAATTGAAACGATCTTATTAGGATACATAACGAGTCCTGTTAAATATCTCATTTTCAATTGTACAATGACTGTATGTCATAGCTGCGTAATACTTATGTAAAAATTACATGCCAATCACCTACAAAATAAATCGATCTGCATAAAAACTACAATAGTACTTTATACTACAATATTAGAAAAAAATGTCACTATTATTAGAAATATATTCTTAAAATTGTATCTGATTATAGTTATAACACATAAGTATATTAGTAAATATTTACACAAGACAATGTAGCTATTATATTAAATAGATGCATAGAACATATCGGAGCATCAGTTATATTAATTAAGGTAGAATTAAAGCTCAAAGATACTATTTATCAGTGTACAAATATTTAACTATTTTTATCCAATATTTAAAAAGTTTCAGAAACATACTTGCAGTCATTCTGATTTTTCTTTTTTGCTTAATTCCTTAATAATAAATTTTTGTGCTTTTGGATAGCTTATTGCACACGTTTCTGCAGAAAAGGATACTTTACGTCAAATTATCTTAAAACATATTACACTGAAGAATTTCCTAGTTAAAATAGTACCTAACTACCTTTGTTTTGTATCGTCAATTCTATAGAGATCAATTTTTTTTTTTTATATATCTTGTGTAAAACTTAATATAATTTCACAAGAATTTCACGAGAAAGCGTATATCATACATTTCATGTTATGTACATGAACACTTTCGTTAATGCTTAGTAATGTGTAATAGAAATAATACTTAATAAAGATTTTATCATAGAGATAATTTCGTCAATAGTTTCATGGAAACTATGTAGTCAAAAGTACATAGAATAATGTTAATCAGAAATATTAATGAAATCTTTAAAAAATGAGTTTTGTGCAACTAGTATTACGTTCATTTTGATTTTGATCTCATTAAATGTTGTGTAATATGGCAATAAACCCTATATACAGAACCTATTGCACTATGTAAATTTGATATAAACTGATAAATAAACGAATTAAGAGAGATTGATATACTATATAAATTATTTGTAATAGAATAATCAAGTTGAACAAAAACCATATTTGAAACTTATTATGATCACAAATATTTTTTACAAAGACGAAAGTGTGGACACATACGAGAAAAAAAAGAAAAAAAATCTTCATTATATATCTATAGCTTATTATCATTTATATAGCCTATTGCTGCTAAAATTAATAATATAAAAACTGTCATTACTAATAGTAAACTAAGAGCAAATGCTATACATACTAACTTATATATCAAATGTAATTTATCCGTGTGTCAAAAGTAGAAAGCACCATAATGATTTTATATATATATATATATATATAGGTTCCAAATATGATTGTTCTGTTAATTATTCCAGCAGGTACCATCAGTTGATCACAAAGATTCTGCACATTTAATTAAAGGCAGATAGAGTTGCTAGCAGATCTAATATCCCCACAAAATTTCACATAAACATCTATCAGTATTTTTAAGTGCCAAGGAGGTATTTTGTTTTTTTTTTACCTGTAATTTTATGCATTAATTTTTATTTCTAAGCTAAATAGAATTAAAAATTGTTTTTTACTACTTACTTGATTTAAAGTTGTCTCGCCTGAGGTTAATGGCCACCAAATACATCCTGGCTGGCAAAAACAATATAAAGAAAACCATCTGGATCTTTTTCATTTTGATACAGCTCAGCCATGGTCATGCTGCCGCTGACTATACTTTTCTGATTTACTAGTAAGAAAATTGCTTGTGTTGGATTCAGCTGCAGTCGACGTCTGTATAAAAAGATGAGAAAATATATACATATATAATATTAACTAATATATTTTATATATTTTTTTTCTTAAACCTAAAATTATATTTTTATATATTCAAAAAATATACCTGATTATTTTACAGAATTCTGCCACAGTTAAAAAATCTGGCACCAGATATTTGCTTTTGTCTAGAAGTGGCAGTTGGTTTTCTAATTTGTAGCGTTCCACGATGATGGGAATTTTATTTGGATGCAGAGATCTAATTTCTTCTGCACTGACCCATCGCTGTTCTAAATTAATACACACACAAAAATATGTATTAGAGAATAATAATTTATCCAATAACCTATATAATCGAAAATTGCAATAGATTAAAAAAATTGTTTTCAAAATCTTTAATCAATTATATAAACACTGCTCACTGAAAGGATATTTCTGCTTGTACTTTGAAGTCAGTGAATTCATTTCCCAAATACACCAATTATGCGAAACGTAATTTTAAAAATATCTATTTATCGTTCCGACGTTTTCTTTAATACAATATTAAATAAGAAATTTCAATAAAAATCGAATAAATCTAAGACACAATTCTCTCTCTCTCTCTCTCTCTCTCTGATGAAATGAACAATTCGACGTGCCAGAGTGATATGCAAACAATGTAGTGCGCGAAATATAAAGGCGTTTCAATCGAAATCCGTACAACGTTGCAACGTGTTGCAACGTTTTTTCCTTCTTTGTCTTCTCATCTTTTTTTTTTTGCACTCGTGCTATCTCTCTTGCAATTGCGCGTTTGTAAATTACCGAACGTATTTTCCAATTTAAATCAATACGAATACATATTCTCGCTCTAATATAATTAATTTTGTCGCCACTTTTGCATGACAATATCGGATAAAAAAATATAATAAAAATAGCAAAGCTCTTCTCTCTCTCTCTCTCTTTCTCCCTTCTCTCTCATCTTATCTATCTCTATCTCTCTCCGACGAGAGATTCATCTAAAGCGCGCTTCGAGACTTCAGATCAGGCCGAAATTTAGTGAAATGCAAAAATAATTTTTGAAGGATGATTTTTCCCTAATCCTTTTGCATACGAGAGGTCAAAGGTCAGATCAGGTTAAAATTGTCAGTCCCTTTGTTTCGCATCTATACACACATATCCATCCTACTTTATTGCTAAGTATAGAACCCTATCGCTTCGATATTATTCACGCACAATGACAATACTCACCGAATGTGCGTCTCTCTTTGTACGATCTCCTAGGTGTCAAATTCATGTTCGTTGCAGCGTTACGATGCACTATCACCTACTGCGACGTACGCGACGCGCGCTATCAGCTGTGGACTCGCTCTTCGGGTCAAAATAACGCTGGCATACACAACGACGCCGTATGAGATCCGCCAGGTCAGGTTAGCTCCTGGTCGGACGAGACGAGACGCACCATTCGCAACTACGCAATCAATCAAGCCGATAGTTCCCTCGACTACGTAGATATTTTCGCGCAGAAAAGGCTATTATTGTGGAATAAATTGCGTGTTCAAAGAAATGATAATGAGTTTCGATGTATCAATTTAGAAAATAAAATTCATTAATTTTTTCTGTCTACCGCGATGCTTTATTACAAGGCAAATTGTAAATGTGTTGTAACCCATACAGCACCGTTAGATTGCAAAAATATTACAACAATCTTTCACTGCAATATTGCAATATTGCAAATTCACTGCAAAATGTTGCTACATCATTGCTGTTGAATTGCAGCAATGTTAAAATGTCCGCTTTTTGGAAGATAATAAAATTATTGATTATCGTTAACATCTTTTATTGTACAATATTGCAAAAAATTATTTTATTACAGTATTATACCCAGCAAATACCAAATTAGTTATATAATTGTTAGTTGTAATTTTCCACTCAACAATATAATTGTTATAATACACGTATTATATTTTTGAGTGGGAAATTACAACTAACAATTATATAGCTGTAACTTGGTGTTTGCTGGGTATATGTATATATATTACAATATATAAATTATAGAATTTGGATTACATGCAATATTTTCGAAATATTAATGTCATGTTGTTACAAGTTGCTGGAATTTTGTGCACTTATATCTCTGCAATGTCTTTATAATGTTACATTGCAACTTGCAACATTGCAACGTTGCTACAATATAATTGCAATAAAGTAATGAGAATTTCGTGGAAAATCAGTATTTTACCCAAGGAGAACAGAAAAGTCAAAATGACGTCATATTGACCAAAAAATGACAAATTTAGTCAATATGACGTCAAATTGACGCCATATTTTGACTTTTCTGTTCTCCTTAGGTATAGGTAATCAATATTTTAAATAAATGTATAAATTTAGTGTCTTTGGAACTGATTTTCTTCGAAAAACATTTTTTTTTAGAATCAAGTAAATTGTTTCTTATATTCACTTTATTTTTAATTTAAAGTTATGAGAACAAAATTTATGCAAACTGTACAAGTGGCATATATATACACATATCTATACATATATATAAATTGTGCTATATATCTTTTACTTTGTATATTCTATCAGATATATTATTTTATTCATATATTAATAATAGTTTTATTTTTATGCCAATGAATTGCACTGTTAAAGCAATCGCGTCTGGTAGACGATTATGCAGTTGAGAAGCACGTCTGTCACGTTAAAATCACATGTCGATACTTTTCCATTAATTAAGAGTTTATATTGGACAAATTGATTAATTTTATCAGTTAATTATTCTTTATTCAGCTGTTAAAAATTGTCCAATAGAATTTCTAATTCTAAAACTTTATACAATTTATCAATATATATCCTTATTTCCCTAATTTAATATTTCTCTCTGCGTGTCAAAAGAAATTAATAATTTTATCTATATGATTAAAAAATAATATATAAACAAAATGTATCTTATTTCTAGATTAACCAAAACTACATTTTAAAAAATACATGCATATCTCGCTCGTTCCTTCGAAAATAATTAAAAATTCAATTTTAACCAACTCATGTTCGATAAATAATGTATTAATGAATGCAAATTAAAACCGAAGACGGAAAATGTCATCAAGTGTCAGGGTCATCGAAATTCGAAAAAAAGTATAGAAGCCTTCTAATCTAGAATCGTTATAGCAACTGAGCTGTCTCTATATTTTACTTGAAAATCATCCCTAAATCAACTTTCTTATTCTCCCAGATACATGCACAAAATGAAAATACTCCGCGTTCCATCTTACATTCTCTTTCTCACTTTACGTGCAGTCATCTGTGATCATCTGGCAAAAATGCGCAGTACGAGCATTCCAGTTGACAGGTGGAACAGCTGTTTCAAAACACACAGCGTACAGGCATAAACAACAAGAGACAGTAGAGAGACACGCGCCGTTCGCAAAACGGACGACGCTCGGCGCGTTTGACAGGTGGCGCCTTCTCGCGAGCAGACGACGCATTCCATCCTCGACGACAGTCCGGGACGGGAATCTGTTCCGCGTTGTCCCGCGAAAAATCCGCGACAGCGTCGCGTGAGTCGCGTCTCCCGTCATGAGGAAGCGCAAGGTGCGCACGCGAGGACTCGCTCCAGCTGTCAAATGAGACGGCTTCGCGGAACGCTCGGACCGTGAACGTCCTTTCGAGGAGAAACGTCATCGCCGGACGTCGTATCGGATCGCGATCGCTCGTGCGGCCGTCTAGGTGAAGCGATACGTCCCGGGACATATCGCGGAGCGTGTTGCTGCGTGTCGCGAACGGAACGTACATATATAAGGTACGCGCGCCGGACAGAGAGGAGAAAGAGAGAGAGAGAGAGAGAGAGGTGGCGTTTTTCCGACCGGCTCTGACGGCGCGCGCGAAGGGGCGGCGGTCTCGAGCGAAAGATCAACACACAAAGGGGGACCCGGAGAGGCAGACTCGGTTTCCGGCGACGAGAATATCCGGGAGTTTTCCAGAAGAGCTGGCCGTTTCGCTCTCCTCCCGAGCAGACACCTGTGAGTGCCCGTCGACGACGACGAGTCGTCCAGGAGTCGCCGGAAGCGGCGGTCCCGAGGCATCTAATAAAGATCCGTCCGCGTATATCAACGCGTTTCTCCTCCCCGCGGCATTCGTCGGGGCATTAACACGAGGGACCGTTTCGATCGTGTGCGAGTGCGCGTCTGTCCTCTCTCTCTCTCTGTTTTGTGCGTGTGTCTGTCTGTCCATCGATGCCGGATATCAACCCCGTCGTCAACAGTCCGCGACAGCTTCGTCGTCGCGCGGGGTGGAAAAAAAATAAACATGGTGGTGGTGGTAGTGTGAGAACGGATAGACGAAGAGGTGGGGAAGAACCTCGCGAGGACGGCGGCAGCAGTGTGGCAGCGATCGGCCACCGAGTCAGAAGCGACGAATTCGACCGGCGCTTCCTTTGTCTGCGCTTCGTCGAGAGTGAGTGAGTGAGTGAAAGAGTGAGTGAGAAAGAGAGAGAGAGAGAGAGAGTAGACGCGGATCTCGGATTGTGATGCCGACAGTGTAGGACGACGTTGCGTCGCCGTCCGCGTCGTTCCCGGACTCGATTTTCATGCGAGCTGTCAACGCTCAGCTGTCCGACGCGCAAGTGTCAACTGGGACTCGCCGCGACGTTGCTGATCGGCGAGGTGATACATGGTGTTATGTCGTCGTCGACGGAGGCCCGCGTGACTCGTCGTCGGGGCCGGTGACGAAACGAGAGGACGGCTAGGATGTGAGGACGGGGTTTCCTAGAGAAAGAAAGAGACAGGTGAGGGAAAACAAAAAAAAAAAAAAAAAATCGTCGGAGATACACCCTCGGCCATTTGGATATCTGAGAAAAATAAAGAATCGTCTCTTTAGACATTTTATAACCGGCTTTCGCGAGTGCGAACAAGTGTTACTGGTGCGAGATTCTTCTGTGATCTTCGCGCAGTGCTTCTTTTTTTCCTCCTATGTGAATCTGTGATTGTTTATAGATCGGTGACATCAACGAGAGCGGAGTACCTACCCAGTTTCGAGAGAAAAATCGATCGACGACGGAATAAGAAGAGAGAGATATATATATGAGAGTCGGGGACCTGGTGGACGGACGTGCCGAGGGTATTTTCGGGCGCTGACGAAGAAGGACGAATGGAACGAGCAACGACGACCGCGGCGGAGTCGTCAAACTCGCGACGACCCGGTGCCAATAACCTCCGTGTGAGCAGTCGGAGGTCGGTCGGTTAAGCCGCTTCCACGCACGGCGACGATGCGTTCGCCCCCGTCGCGCGCGACAGATCGTAAAATTAGAAGACGTACGGAGGTTCGCGCGAGCGAAGCCGAGAAGAGGGACGACGTCGCGAGCGAGCGACGACGACGACGACGGAGGAGAAGAGCTCCGGATGGTAGGCGCCGGCTGACGCGAATATTCCAAGTTCGCGGGATCGTTCCCGCGGCTGCTGGATCGTCGACGTGGCTGACCAAGGTTCCACAGTTCCTCTCTTCGCGGCTTCCTCACCCAGGCGAGGCTCGTGAGTCGCTGGCACAGCTGATCGACCGAAGAGATTCGTCGATGCAACTTCTCTAGTCCGCTGTATTTTATCGTCTCTCTCTCTCTTTCTCTCCGGGGGATATATATCTATAATAATTAGAGGAATTGATTTTCGTATCCACAGCAGCGTATAATCGCATCATCCCGTCCGGAAGCTGGGCATTTTCCGAATACGAGACTGACCCGCGTCACGGTTCCTGTAGACGAATTTATAATTTATTCAATTACGTGATCGCAGGACGCAAGCCTGGCCTCGTGCGGTCTTTACGGAGCAGCATGTCTCTCATCCAGTCCGGATCGTTGTCCTTTCCCAGGTCGTCCATCGAGATCGCGAGAATCGTGACAGAGAGACGCTGATTCTCGACCGTATATATATATATATATATATATATATATATATATATATATACGGATCATATATATATATATATATGATCCCGATGACGAGAGACAGACACGAGTGGACGCGAACAAATGGGCACCAATGATTAGCTTGGTCCTCTCGGCGGCGGCAAGCAGGATCGAGATGCCCCTCTCCAAATCGAATCCGTTCGTGGCGGCGAGCGCGATCTCGACGCAGCCGTACATCTCGAGCAGCGAGAGTAGCAACCATCTGCCGCCGATCGTCAAGGGTACCGGGCTGAAGCAGCAGCAGACCGGAAGCGGAGGCGGCGGGGCTGGTAACAACGGCGGCGACGAGTCCGTACCCTACACGGGCTATCAGAGACTACCCTGGAAGGGCGAGAGCTTCGGCCTGAATAACTGGCCGGCGAGTCACAACTCGCACTCGCAGCCCAACAGCCAGTCGAGCAGTCCGGTGGTGAGAAACGGCCGTTCCGATGGTAACTCCAATAGCGGCGGTGGACGCGGCGGCGCCGGAGGCGGAAGCGAGGGCGGCGGCGGGGGCGGAAACGGCGGTGGCGGAAGCGGAAGTGGCGGCGGAAACGGCGGCGGCAACAGCATCGTCAGCGTCAAACCCAAGACGGCGACCATCACGCCGGAGATGGTGATGAAGCTGTACATGAATAAGCTGACGCCTTACGAGCACCACGAGATCTTCAACTATCAGCAGATCTATTTCATCGGGGCGAACGCGAAGAAACGGCCGGGCGTGATCGGCCGGCCTAACAACAACGAGTACGACAACGAGCAAGGCTCGTACATCCACGTGCCGCACGACCACGTGGCGTATCGGTACGAGGTGCTGCGCGTGATCGGCAAGGGCTCGTTCGGCCAGGTGGTCAAGGCCTACGATCACAAGACCCACGAGCACGTGGCCCTGAAGATGGTGCGCAACGAGAAGCGCTTCCACCGTCAGGCGCACGAGGAGATACGTATATTGCGCAAGCTGCGCGAGCAGGACAAAGACAACACCATGAACATCATCCACATGTTCGACTCGTTCACCTTCCGCTGCCACATGTGCATCACCTTCGAGCTGCTCAGCATCAATCTGTACGAGCTCATCAAGAAGAACAACTTCAAGGGCTTCAGCCTGCAACTCGTCCGCAAGTTCTCGCACTCGCTTCTGCTGTGCCTGGACGCGCTCTATAAGAACAAGATTATACATTGTGACATGAAGCCGGAGAACGTGTTGCTCAAACAGCAGGGACGCAGCGGCATCAAGGTAATGAAGTGGAATATTTATATTTCATGGATCGTCTAGTTTCGGATATATTCGCGGCACTCTCCAATTTCTCAACCCTTTTCTCTTATTTTCAATTGTGCGATTTAAACATTTTTTACTTTTAAGGGGATGCTGGAGTGAGTTTGTTGTTTTTTCCTGTTTTATCGACAAAATGTGAGGTTAGATAAAGTATAAATAGGTTATTTTTTTTATTGGCAGCTTGTACATACAAAATAAGATCAGGCCGAATTTGATATTAGATAAAGGAATATAAGTGAATGTTTAGATATCAATTTGGAAGCCTAGTAAACGAGAATAACTCATCCTACATTTTTGTGCACACATGAAAATGTAGGATGAGTTATTCTCTTTACTAGGCTTCCAAATTGATATCTAAACATTCACTTATATTCCTTTATCTAATACCAAATTCGGCCTGATCTTATTTTGTATGTACAAGCTGCCAATAAAAAGAATAACCTTTTTATACTTTATCTAACCTCACATTTTGTCGATAAAACAGGAAAAATCAACAAACTCACTCCAGCAGCCCCTTAATGATCAATCACTTCTACGAAGTGAATAAGCATGTCAATACATCAATGTTTCTTTGGAAAATTATTTATAAATCATATTATTTAAACGTTTATTTTGATTTAGCAACGAGATTTGAAATCGTATCGAGTTTTAAACTAGTCAGATTTTTTGATAGATGACACATTCGATTCCTTGACAAATGACGTATTTGATTCTTTGACAGATGACGTATTCGACTTTTTGACGGATGATGCATCTATTCAAGTTTTTATTTTTGCATGCGAGAACAGCTGATTAGATGAAACTTACGATTGAAAAGACGTACGTCATATTTCCATATGGTCATGTATAAACAATTTATAAATTACTTATATTATTTATCAGAAACATTTTAATCGAATACATTCCATGTTAATACGCCTAAATTATTTAACCAAATATTATTTTGGTAATTGAAGATATAGAAATATTTAAATTAAATATTAAGAAATTTATGGCAACAGTAAATATTTATTTTTCAAAGTGCACTGAAAAAGAATTGTTAACTTGACTAAACCGTTCAACCAAATTACTATTTTGTTAATTGAAGATATATTAATATTTAAATCAAATATATACGTTTTAAATTTAATATAATTGTTATATTTAATTTAAATATTTCTATATGTTCAATTACCAAAATAATATTTAGTTAAATAATTTAGGCGTATTAACAATTTTTTTCTATGTGGACAAAATTAATGTATTTCTTTAAAAGTACTTACCCCCAAAAAAGATCAAAATTATTATTACATTAAATCCTTCAATTAACAATCCTGCAATTAGTACTTTAATTACTGTGTAATTTGAAGCGCGTCAAATTTCTTTTATAAAGAAGACACAATATTTGAAAACAAAGACCGAAGCTATCTATTATCGTTTCACATTCGAGAGACGGTATAATGAATTCTCGATACACACACACACATACACGATTTTTCTTTCCGATAATATTTGCAAAACAAGATCTCGAGTTCCTCTCGACGGCATCTCGAAGAGCCACTTATTATTTCTCGTAATGCGAGCCTTTATTGACATTTCTTTATATGGTTTGTACACGGAAGACTTTATTGCTCCATCTCGAAATAACAACATGTGGCACATGCATTGAAAAAAATGACATTTGCAAATTAACAAAATATATTTTATTTATCTTGATATTTCGAAATTTTGTTTCTTTACGCACACCGTTTTAATATTCCGTTAAGTCTGCTATTCGGAGGTCTAGATTATTTATATTTTGACATTTTTATTTTGTACATGCATATATACGCAGACACGTGCGCGTTCCGCTACATCTTTACTTTCGTGAAACTGAGCTTTCAATTAAAGCTAATCGATAAACCGCTTCGCCCACGAAACATTTTCCGTATACACAGCCACGATCTTTAGCCCCGTTTTGGAACATCCGATATCGGGAGAAATCGCGCAGGAAGCTGTCAAAGAACTGCCTTTTTTCCCTCGTGAATAATACGACATATAATATATACATATATATGCGCGTCGCGCTTTCAAAATCGACCGAATTCCACGAATTCACGGTTAACCGACAGACCAAAGAGAACACAGAAACGATATCTCTTTTGTCTCTCTAGCTGATGCAGATATATCGCAAGACGTAAACGTTGTTTAAATGGCTCCCGTTCATGTTAAACACGCATCCGTGCCACAATAATTCGCACTTGCGCGTATACAATATTCCATTTGTCAGAGAGACGGTAGTCTAATAATAAAAGGTAACATTAATACTACGTCATCCTGCTGACTGGCGATACTTAATAATGTATATTATTTATTGGAAGTGGTGTAGTCCGCGTATAAGGATGGCAGAAATTCTTCTATCTGTATTTTTCAGAGAATCTGTAAATCCGCAGAGGTTCTGGGTACATTCTTTCTGCCCCATTACTAACAATATCTAATTCCATTTATGCCTTTAATGGTAATTAAATAATAATTGGTATAAAAATGTAATAATGTTCGTAAAGCTGCTTCTTCTGTTGTTGTAATTTATATTTAGTACGGATTTACACGCTGAGAACAAAACTGTTAACTTGATTAAACTAGTCAACTAAATTACTTTTTTGTTAATTGAGTATACATAAATATTTAAGTCAAATACGTATTTTGTTAGATTTAATAAGTTAGATTTAATATTTTAATTTAAATATTTCTATGTGTTTAATTAACAAAATAATATTTAGTTGAACGAGTCAAGTTAACAATTTTTTTAGTACAGTTTAAATATTCTGTACAAAGATTATAAATTAAATTACTATTTTATTAATTGAACATATATAAATATTTAAATCAAATACATATTTTGTTAGATTTAATGTTATATTTAATTTAAATATTTCTATATGTTTAATTAACAAAATAATATTTAGTTGAACGATTGAGGCAAGTTAACAGATTTTTTTTCAGTGTAGTTTAAATATTCTGTACGAGGATTATACAGAAAAATTTGACACGCTGCATTATAGATATTTTACATATGCAAATTGGTTTTGATACACTATAATGAATACAAAGAAATATTATTCTTTAGAAAATCGCTAACTTTTTTTAAAATTATTATACCTGTTATATTATTAAACGTTTTTTTATATACATATATTCATAATTCTAACTGTGAAAAAAGTCTTGTAAGGTAGATATATGCAAAGATCTTTATATTTGGCATAATCGCATATGTTATCTAATTATTCAGGCATGTTCCCGAATCACGGATAATACCTGATTAACCAGTTTTTGAAGTCCTCGATGCCCTTATTTCCTCGGCATTGAACGTGCAAGAACGCGTCGTACAAACGGAATCGTGTTACCTCCGCCAACTGTAGCATTCGCACGCAAGTTCACAAAACTTTCCGAGAGTAAGGCCTGCCCTATGTTGGATCGTGACCTTGCGAGGCCGCACGGTGGTTTTACTTTGATGCCGACGGCGTTCGCGCCAGGTCGTAAAGCTAAGAGGCTAAGTGCTGGAAATGGGCAAAAATTAGATTTGCTCGTTCCTTCTAAATGACCGTAACCGTAACTCCTTTCATGATTTTGTGATCGCTTCCGCAATGGATTCGTAATTCGACAAAAAAGATACTTACCGATCTTTTATTTTAACTAGACAACACAAGCGCGCGCTTCGCGCGCGACAATGATTTTATGTGCTTTGATTTGATATATATTATTTTGAACAACTGTCAAATTATTAATCTTCGCAATAACAGCTGTTTGATATGAATATAACACATAATGCGAATCGAGACAACCAATCAGTAACGTGGAAAAGCGGCAACAATACATGCGAGAATCCACTTAACATGCCTTTTTTACAAAAAGGAAGGATTTAGCGACGCGATTCAGATCAACAAGTTTGAAAACAGTCGGATTTTGACAGATGACACTCGATTTTTTGACAGATGACGTATTCGATTTTTTTGACGGATGACGCATGTCGTCAAGACAAGAACAGCTGATCAGATGAAGCTCGATAAGACGTACGTCATGTTTCCATATAGTCATTGATTATTTTATTAATTATGATACTAATAAAATATTAGAGATAAATCTATGTTAAAATGACTCCTTGTGACACAACTTTGATATGCCTTCCAAGAAATCCGTGTTATCTAATGACACTATCCGCGCCGTTATCTAATGACGCGTTTTTCAATCTACGCTATCTGCGTTATATTATCGAGAAAGCTTCTGAAAAAAGTCACGAAAGGGAGAGCATTACCAGCGGAAATCTCCACTGGGGTGTGAATTAAGATTGAATGCGGGGCAATGAGTCGTGTCGATGCGCAAAATCGAATCCGAATTGAGGCAAAGGTAGGTTTCTTTCTCGAAACGTAATTTTCACGGTTGCATGATTAACACTTCGATTTGCCTCGAGACTTCGAGGACGCGATATTTAACGCGATTCAATGTCAAATGCGCCGTAATGTTGTGGCAAAATTATTATCGAACAATAACACAAAATATGTATAGCAGAATTTGCGAAAATAAAATTATCGGAACAATATTTCGTGGAAATAAAATTAATCAATTATAATTCTTATTGGTTAACAATATTTTCCGATGATAATCATTGAGGTCACGATACCAGAATATTAAAAAAAAAATCGGTGTGCGTTTAAAAGATTGTACTTTCCCAATTCGACTCTTCTAATATTTAAGTTTGTAACTTTCGCCGAGGGTCTTTTCTCGTGTCATTTCCTCATAAAATTTTGCGCAAGAAGATAACGAAGAGGTCAACACGCACAATTTTATCGATTTTTCGACATGTATACCATTATATGTTTCGTCTACTTTAGTTTTCTCTCTTACTTGGTATCTAAAATAGGCCATTATTTGATGATAAAATGTCATTTGTATTCTCTCTCTCTTAATAAAATATTGGTTCATATTCAGTATCGCATAATTAATAT